GCGGTGGAGGAGGAGGAGGAGGAGGAGGAGGAGGAGGGGTGGGTGAAGAGGTGGACAGGGGCGCTGCTGTCGAGCCCAATGGAAACGGGGTTGGGGGAGGCGTAGGCACCCCTCAGACCAGTGCTGAGGTACGAGCCTTACAGCAGAGACCACTGATGGTTGTTGTAGTCTGAACCTGTTGCCGTGGTTGTTTTCTGTGTTGTTTTCATTGTAAGAGAGCATCTACGTTTGTGAGGCTTTATCGTCAGGGTCTTTACTTAACAGTTAACCTGTTACTTGTTTAATCTGTTCTTTACTTTTCATTTGTCTATTGCGTGTTTCTTAAGACTGTCAGTATTGGGATGGATGGATGGATGGATGGATGGATGGGTCGGTACATATATAGGTTGGTATAAGTATAGGTCAATAGATATGTTGGTAGATACACAGGTTGGTAGATAGGATGATAGATAAATAGATATGTCAGATAGATAGATAGATAGATGGATAGATGGATGGATGGATGGATGGATGGATTTAGGTTCATGTCTCTCTCGCTCTCTGTCTCTCCTGCAACAGGTTATTCTCGTCTCGCTCTTTGAGCGACTAAATCAGTGTCTGGTTGAATCATGAGATTAGGCAGTGCCATCGCTTCAGAGAGAGACCACCATCTTCTGCTCTTTACCTGCTTGTGTGTGTGTGTTAAACCCCCTCCTCTCTCCCTCTCTCTCTCTCTGTCCCTCTCACTCCACCGTCTGGATGGAGCAGAGAGGAGCGTCTTTGGATTATGTCCAGACACTGAGGGGATTTACCTGTCTGCACTGACCCTGTGGGCGTCTGTCTTAAGACTGGCTTACACCTCACAATATAGCACATGTAATCAGGTCCATCGCTGACCGGCGTGCATCTGCAAGATGATTGGCTCATGTTGGATTCCACTGCAGCCAATAGTGTGTGTTTCTCCAGGCTCGTTGCACTCTGCAATCTACAAACTAGCTCATGTTCTTGTATATTTTCCTGCTGTTTTTACTTTCCATGCTCTTCTTTTCTTTTTGCTCATTTTTGGCTTTGTTTTACTCTGCGATGCTCTTTCTCAGCGTGTTTATTGCTCATGAATGTTCTACTTCAGCCAGAAATAGCCGACTGGCTGTGATCCCATGACCTGTTTTTGTAAAGGCCGGGCAGAGCTGGCATTGAGTGTATGGTACTGACTGCAGTAGAAATGCTTAGTGGTCGACCGATATTGGTTTTTTGACTGCCGATGCCGATATCTTGGAAAGCAGGGTGGCCGATGGCAGATATAAAGCTGATATAATTTTATTTATTTTAGTTAATATTTAAGAAATTTGAAATCATTTGAAAATGGATTTAAAAATAAACGTGTAAAATAAACATACTTATACTTTAGATAACAGTGTATTTTTCACAAATAAATAAATATTTAATAAAAAGTCAACATTGTAACCAACAGGTCACTAAGTAATCTGGGAAGTTTGTGTGCATTGGGAATCATATTTTTAAAAATAAAGCCAAGGTAACAGTCATTTTACATACAGCACACAGTGAAAATGACATGAATATGACAGTGGGCAAATGCATAAAGCGCAGCATAATTTGAAATCACGAGTTTAAATCTTGTCGATCGCGCATCTCCAGTGAGGCTGAACTCTCCTCCTGTCCGCATTCAATTCACACGGACCGACTGTCACGCAGAGAACACGCGATCATGCAAGTCACATGCACACTTCACAAGATCTCAACTAGATTCGACTAAGTTTGCAAGGTTTGTGAAATTAAATATTCATTAAAAGACATTCAAAGATTTGTTTAAATGATATAAATGCGTATTTGCTGAATGCTGACGGCAAACGAGACAGTATTATAATGTTTGCTTTTCTATTACTAATAATATAAAAGCAATCGTTATAATACTTTTTTGTATGCATTTTAATTCCTTTGTTTAACCGTTCTATCTGATTATTAGACAGACTTCTATCCGTATTAGACAGAACTGTTAATGACGACAACGAACAAGAGGGAGAATGTGAGCACTGTGTGCTCAGACGCTGCCGTTCTCCGCGCCGTCAAAATAAAGTCACCTCGAAAAGCATCGGCCAAACAGGAAAAACTTATCAGCTGATGCCAATATTTTAAAATATCAAAAAAATAAATATTGGCCGACCACTAGAAGTGCTGCACGAGTTTTTCATTCAAACAACTTAATGTTATTGAATGTGAGCTTTACTTTTACACTGCATCCATGTTCATTTTAATAAGATATTTTAATAAAGAGATATCTGCATGTGTACATCTCTTTATAGTAGCATTTCTTGCTACGTTGTTCTATGTGGTTATTAGTATGTTGCTAGAGTGTTGTCAGTTCTCGTCTCTATGATTGTCTTGTCTCTAGATATGGCTGAAATCCTTACTGAAATGTAAGTTTAGGGGATTTTTTCACCCAGTTATTGTATGCTACATGAAAAAACAAAAGCCTGATTGCTTAGAAGCCACAAAATATGAGGGATCATTCATGTTCGTTAGCACAGACAGTGTGTGAATCATTGGTGTCTTTTGTTTTATTGTTGGGTGCCTTTGTTGCTTGTATTGCTTGAGATTTGCCCCACTTGCTAAGATAAACAAAGACAGTTATTGAACCCAGTATATCTGTCTTATGAGAACAGTTACAATATCATGGGATTTTCTTTGTCATGGTCTCTTGAAAATAGCCATGGCCTGAGGACAAAGCCCAGCAATCTAAAATGAGGAACAGTGTAGTATTGACTTATTTATTCATTCATGCATTTATGCATGCACTTATTTCATTTTTTCTTTATCAGATATATTTATTAAATTATTCATTTTGTTTTTTCCAGATTATCTTTTTTTCACTGGGGTCTGATCTGATCTGTCTTATTTCATTGCTTAGTTTATTTGTTAACTCATTGTTTTTGTCAGCTGCTGATTTGGACAAACTGGTCAGTGGTGTTTTGATCAATATTGCAAATGGAAAGTCATTAGACCACGTCAGCCTGACAGACACATGCACGGCGCCATGTGCTTTTGCCAGAGTCATTGTCAGAGTTGCATAACCTTGTTGAAGAAGCTCTGCAGGACAGTAGATTTCTTCCTGAAAGCCTATTATCCTGTCTGATAATTTAGTGGATTTTGTGAATGGCTGGTCGAGATGCAGGGGTCAATCTGCATGTGGTCATTTATTGAATGAATTGCAATGGCGTGATCAGAGAATTCAAAAATTACTAGCATAACATAACATAACATATAACAACATAACATAACATAACAACATAACATAACATATAACATAACAAAAAAACAACAACATAAAATATAATAAAATATAATATAGTAATACTAAAAATATATTTTTAAATATTATACAGTTATTGAAAATATCTGCATGTGTATTTAATTATTGTATTATTATTTTACAACTAGTAAGTTTTATCATTATTTGTTATATAACCGAAATACAATTGATTTTTGTATAAGACTTTTTTCATAATGACTTATTCATTAGTTTAAAAGAATCAGCTCATAAGTATCACTTTTCCATTAATCGAACACTGGTCACACTGTATGTTTCTTTTTTATATATATATTTTCAATTTATTTTCAATATTTTCAACCTTATTCATTCATTCAGTTCAGCTTAGAAAGTGATTTTTAAATTTGATTTTAATTAGTTATTTTGGGTATTTGATGTTTTTATATCACTTTTTCTGTTTTTTTTTTTTATCACTGTGATAGTTGGAAGAAAAACTATATCACCAGATTTTTGCTTTGATTTTAATATATCATGCAAATTAGTAGTCATTTAGCAGATGCTGTTACCCCAGCATGAAGGGCACAATGATTTATAGCTCATGCACCAATTCAGCCAGCAACTTTTGATTACTAGCCATATGCTTTAACCAGTTCACCCCACCACCTGTATGTGTAGCGTGCCGAACACCGACAGCACCTGTTTGAACCACATCCAGCAGACAAATTCCCATGTAACGCTTGAACGTTCTCCGCCCCTATTTCATGATTGACCGTGCAGAATTTTCTCATTGTGATTAGCGACCGATGACCGTTTCTGATCAGATCAAAGGAAGGTTAGTTTGATTGGTGTCGAAGGATCAAATTGCAGATTCCACCTGCTTTATTCAGAGTGCGGTAAACGCGCTCTAGTGTGTGTTTTACTCAAGCCATAGTGGTTGGCACAGATACAGCGTTTGGCTAAAATGCATGGTGTACCTCAGGCTTTAGAAGGAAATTAGATCTTCTCATAACTTAAACACACTCTTGCTTCACTCTGCTAATAAAAACCAATCAAACGCTACAGCCAGAACCTCAGACAGAGGTCTCCCTTTGCACTGTGACCTCATTACCTGATGAGTGTAAATCAAGGTCAGACATGGGTGTTTAGACCAAATATGGATGTTTTCAGATCTATACAACATTTTTTTGCCTCTTTATCATTGATGTCAAATTAAATGTGTAATCAGACTGTTTTCTGTGAAAAAATGTTGACAAGTAAATGCCTCAAGTAAATTCTGGTGTAGTAGATTAGTCACTGTTCTACTTGAGACTCAAGTTTAAACTTCCGTATTTTTATGGTTTATGTTACTACCATTGACATATAATGTATAGTGAGCAGTCACATGCTAGTAAACAGGAAATTCTTATTTTGTGTGTGTGTATCTGTTTGTTGATGTGTATATATATATATATATATATATGTATATATATATATATATATATATATACATATATATATATATATATATATACACATCAACAAACAGATACACACACACAAAATAAGAATTTCCTGTTTACTAGCATGTGACTGCTCACTATACATTATATGTCAATGGTAGTAACATAAACCATAAAAATACGGAAGTTTAAACTTGTTAAATACATTTTATTTTATTGTTTTGTTTTGTGTCAGTGTCATTTCCATAACATCTCATATTATGTATTATAATAGAACTCTGTAATGAAATAAATCATTTGCATAAAAGTCATTTTGATAGTAGAAAAATAAATCAAGGCATGGTGCATTTTCACTAAGTTTCAAAGTGAATGTGACTGACCTTTATATAATGACATGATCTTGAAATCAGTTTTGATCAAAATCAACCCCTGGGTTATAAAAGTAGAAACGAGAAACACCTCTTTGTTTCTTGGCTCTAGAAATGTGCCACTGTTTGTGTGTTTTCTCAGTCTATACAGCTCAACAGGTCCAACACATGAGCTGCTATGAACATTTAATTATTAGAGAGAAATATTTCTCCCCAGAGCTTCATGGTCTCCTGCTCCTCCACCGGGTCGCTCAACATGACCTCGTCTTTCCAAGAAATGCATTTGGAGGTTCCTGCATTCATAATATGATTTCATTATAATGATATTGCCCCATAATGCATCAGGGGAACAGCTATGGGACGGGTGCACAAGGCACCTTTTGACATTATGTAAGCCTAACAGCAGGAATGTTCATGGCTTTTGTTGATGTTTAAATGAATTACATTCATGAAGTTATGAAGCTGTGCTTTGACTTTGAGACCTGATCCGTGTGTGTGTGTGTGTAGCTGTTGTGACCAATCTAATCACATTATGATTATTTAAGGCATTAAAAGGTTTAAAGCACACACAATACTCTGGATGTGTTTTTATGAGATCAGTCTACTGTTGAAATGCAAGTAGTTGTACTGAGAGAAGTTTTTTTTATAATTTTCAGTTTTGAAGATCAGTTTTGACAGTGTAGAAGTATTGAGAAAATGGGTAATTGTAGTTTTCACTAGAACGTTACTGCTTTTTATTTTGGTCTTGATTTGTATTTTGTTTTTCAGTTTGAGTGTGATTTGAGTTTGTTTTAATTTCCATTAAACCGTTTTATTTCAGTTTTATTATCACTAGTTTTAGATTTTTTTTATTAAATGTGGTGATGCTGAAATTACACACTAAATGTTTTTGCAATCACAAATTCATGTTATTTTTATTCCATTTTTATTTTATTTATTTCTGTTTCACACTGTCATTTCCTTAACATTTAAAGTTTAGTTTGTATAGTTTGTAAACAGTAAAGCATTGCGCTTGCAACACCAAGGTCATGGGTTCAATTTCCAGGGAATGCATGAACTGATAATGCATAGTGTGAATGCAATGTAAGTTATTTTGGATAAAAGCATAAAAAAACTGGAATTTAAAGTTTTAATTTTTATTAATATTTCAGTGCACATTTATATTTTCTGTTTAACTTCTTTGTTTGTTTGTTTTTTAACGTTTTTTTTTTTTTTGTCTCCATAATAGTTTTAATAGACAAACCTTTCCAAATCCACTGAGTGTACCTGTGACTGAATGTCAGGCCGTGTCTGTGTCATCAGGGCATTTCAGAAATACCCGCAGCTCCTTTGGGACGTGTTTTGTGGCTGCCACACATGCTGTTGGAGCTGCTGGGCACATTTCTGGCCCCCTGATGAGACTCCAGAGAGCGTTTCGCTCTAAATGCAGTTTAAATGTGTTTTTATGACCAGTTTATATTTAGGACCAAGTTCAGGCAAAGGCTCAGTAATCTCTTAAAATTCCCCGCATTATATACAGATCTGCTCCTCCTGCGTGTGACGGTTTGATTTGTTCCGGGTGAAAAGTAACAAGATTCTTGGGAAACCTCTTTAAACCGGTTCAGAATGAGTCCGTTTAGAGCGACTCACAGCAGGTTTGTTTCAGGTTTATTCAGTGCAGTTAAGAGCCGGACGTGTCGGCCAAGACAGCATGCTGGCTAGTACAGTCTGTCAAACCGCCTGCTTTTTATGGGAGGAAATGGACTGGATGAATGAGCATCAGTCTGAGAAACACAAGCACACATGACACATATCAACCACTTTCTTTCTTGCTTGCTTTCTTGCTCTTTTCCCATTTTTTGGACATTATTTTGTATTACTATAGTAAAACTTACATACATACTGTATAAGTTTGATCAAAAATACAGTAAAAACAACAAAAAACTTCAATATTACAATTTAAAATAACTGTTTTCTATTTGAATATATTGTAAAATGTAATTTATTCCTGTGATGCAAAGCTGAATTTTCAGCTTCATTACTCCAGTCTTCAGTGTCACATGATCCTTCAGAAATCAGTCTAAAATGCTGATTTGGTGCTCAAAAAAAAAAATTCTAATCAATATTGAAAACATTTTTCTTGGCTAATATTTAAACTTTGATACACTACCATTCAAAGTTTTGGGGTAAGAACGAATGAATGAAATAATAAGAATTGTATTCATCAAGGACACATTAAATTGGTTAAAAAGTGATTGCTGAAAAAAAAAAAAAATCAAGTAAATGCTGCTCATTGAACTTTCTATTCATCAAATAATCCTGAGGGGAAAAAAAGTGTATCACGGTTTCTCCATATGCTGATTTGCTGATCAAGAAACATTTCTTATTATTATCAGTGTTGAAAACAGTTGTGCTGCTTCATATTTTTGTAGAAACCGTCATACATATTGTTGGAAAGAGGCAAGGCAAGGCAAGTTTATTTATATAGCACATTTCGTACACAATGGTAATTCAAAGTGCTTTACATAA